GCACACACTTCCTGTTTCTATGACAAACTAAAAGTTCACATTTCCTCCTCTTCCCTCAGGTGCCAGCTATCTCTCTGGCTTATGAAATGGCTGAGAGCGACATCATGAAGCGTCAGCCCAGGAACCCATTCAGGGACAAGCTGGTGAATGAGAGGCTTATCAGCATTGCCTATGGACAAATTGGTAGGGGAAATAAAGATGCTACCCCTGATCCTGGCTGTGAATTGTCTTTGGATTGAAGTTTGATCTTGGTTGCCTGAAAGTAATTTTGTGTTAAAATCAACTTTATCCCCCCAGTAACAGATGGGTTTTTTTTTTTTTTATCCATCAGCAAAGTGTTTTTATTTTAATTAAGGAAGTTAAAAAACATAAAAAGCTGTAAGTTAATTTCTCGGTCTGTATGTTTTTCCTTAGGTATGATCCAGGCTTTGGGAGGCTTCTTCTCCTACTTTGTCATCTTGGCTGAAAATGGTTTCCTGCCCAGTTTTTTAGTAGGCATCAGGCTCAACTGGGATGACCGAGCTGTCAACGACCTGGAAGACAGCTATGGGCAGCAATGGGTAAGCGTGTATTTTTTGTATGTTCATGTGAATTTCTACATGTGTTTTCAGGGTTTTGTTACTTAATCTTACAATGTGTCTGTCCTCTCTTGCCCTCAGACATATGAGCAGAGGAAGATTGTGGAGTTCACATGCCACACAGCCTTCTTTGTCAGCATTGTAGTAGTGCAGTGGGCTGATGTCATCATCTGCAAGACCAGACGTAACTCTGTGTTCCAGCAGGGCATGAAGTGAGTAAAACAATCACTGTACATGCTATGATCTAAATTGGGGTGACACCTATCTCAATTTCTGCATCATTTCTTTCCTTCAATATTTGTTATGTTTCTTAACCCAGGAACAAGATCTTGATTTTCGGCCTGTTCGAAGAGACAGCCCTGGCTGCCTTCCTGTCCTATTGCCCAGGCATGGACGTGGCACTCAGGATGTATCCTCTAAAGTAAGTGCCATTACCACATGTATTAAGAAATATTGTGTTATTTGCTTACTTGATTAGTTTTAATCCGTCTGGTTTTCTCTTGTTTTGCCCACAGGCCTACCTGGTGGTTTTGTGCATTCCCCTATAGTTTTCTCATCTTTGTTTATGATGAAGTCCGAAAACTTCTCCTCCGCCGGAACCCTGGAGGTTAGTATTTTTTCCTCTCAATATATGTGTTACCCCTTAAACCAAAGTTTCTCTAAAGGAATAGTTCAACAGCAGCACATTGTGGTAGTACGCAGGATTGGGCTAGACTATTTCTTGGCTTGGTACAGTAACTTCCTGGAGTCTCTGCTGGTTGCCTGGTAAATTCACGGCAACAATAAGTCACTGTACCTAGCCGAGAAATTGTCCAGTACATTTATTTTTTGTATGGATTAAATAAACAAGATATAACATGTTAATTAGAGAGCTTCAGAGGTGCTGGTAGATGGATTTTGTTATCTTCAGACAGATCTAGGTTAGCTGTTTTACCCTGATTCCAGAGTTTTAAGCTAAGCAAAGCCTCATATTTCCCGTACATAAGAATAGTGCTCTCATCTAACTCTCTGCAAGAAAGCAAATAATTTCCCCAAATGTTGAACTAGTCCTTTAACTAATTCTAATTCAATGGAAAATCTTCATAAAATATGATTTGTAAACATGTTTGAACTAACTGTGAACTTCTTCTCTCTTCTCTCATTTGCACTCCAGGTTGGGTGGAAAGGGAGACATACTATTGATCGATGGAGCATCTTTGCTCAAACCCCCCACATCTTCCACTTATTTCTCCCCCCTGTCACTCCATCCCCGGCAAGACACACCTCCAAAAGCCCCACCCCCTTGAAGACAAAAACCGCTTTAAAGCAATTTTCATCACAACTGCCCCAAAGATTAAAAACAGCAAAAGCACCTTTACAACTTTCTACATTGACCCGCCCCCCTTTCCCCCCATCTCCTATGATACTCTTTGCATGTGTTCTCTCACTGCTGTGTACATAAACCAATATATCTACCAAACGGCAGCTGCATATTGTGTATGTAGATTTGAATGAGCTAAGGATACAAAGGGAGTGTCTATGCTCTGCAAAAAAGGGCCATCCAGCTCCTTCCCCTCACTGTTATTCCTCTGCTCTCTTCCCCTCGTCTTTCTCTATACCTACGTTCCTATCTCTTTTCCCTCCTTGCCAACCCTTTGCTTGTCCTCCAGTCACACACAGATATAAAGATCACACAGTGAGATCCCACCGCTGACACCACTTCGACTGCCACCTCTTGCCTCCGTCTCCTGTTTGTGGAGGACCAGCGGAGTAGTCATTTCCCCTGTCGTTCTCGCTGCGTCCATTTTACTTCTCTTCCGTTATCGACGGCCACAGTGTTGTTGTTTTTTAATATGTGGGGTACGGGGGGTTTCAATGATTTTACTTGTCTTTTTTATTTATAAGACGAGAGGGGGGGTATGTGAGAGCTGCTTTTCCTCATTTAGGCCTAACAAAGCACACCCCATGGCGTCCTGTGCCCCCTCTCTCCCCTTCTGTCTCTCACACCCCTCCCCTCCCCTCCCTCCCGTCCTGTTTGTCTCCGTTTGTGTGCACTGTGTGAACCATTGTCCTTGTTAATAACTATTACAGTACACCCCCCCCTCCCCCCAGTTGGTAAATACAACTCAATCTTTCTGTGTGCTCTAGGAAATCTATATAATTCTATACTGAATTTAAATGAAACAATAAAAAACATACGTTGAAAAACAGCTCAAGAGAGACATTCATGAAGAAGAACAACAATATTGGTGAGATAGGAAAAAGCAAGAGATATGTGTCTCTCTTTTTGTTTTTTGTTTGGTTTCAGTTATTTTTGCTGGTTTTTCAGGAGGCTACTCTAAAACTGTAACAGCAGAGCAGGGTTTTGGTTGTGTTTTTACCTAAAGACACAGGACACCAACCAAGGCTTTCAGGTTCCTGTCACTGCAGGTGTGCCGGTATGATGTGGTGCAGTGGCCTGTGATGTGGTGAGTGGTGATGATGAGGCCACATGCCTGGGGTCTATTACCGGACTGGGTCCAGCTCTGGTTCTGTCCAGGTCCTGGTATAGCCCGGTAGGACCCAGGTATGTGTGCATGTATGTGTTGGAGACCAGTGAAGGGCCAACTGTCTCAGGCTGGGTCTATCTCAGATGGCTGCAAGAGTTGAAATTCAAGAAAAAAAAATACACAACTAGTAGAACATGTGTGTCAAATAAATGAAACCAACACCAATAAAACATCTAGAACATTTAATACAACCTAGACCTGTCTGTGTGTCTTTCTGTGTCGGTTTTTACTACACTTCACTCTAATTTATTAGAGAATTGAAAGGTGTTCTTATCTTTGATAGCCCTTAGTCTTTGTCTTTCTATACAGCTCTTTCTTAAAAATTGCTAATAATATGCATCACTCATCAAAGCTGCATACTAGGAACATTTGTAAGGAATTTAATTAAATTTATTACAATAGACATGCAAGAAAACCCATTTATAAGGGATAGCTTCGCACGTGAAAATCTTAAGTAAAGTAATTTAGGGACCAAATCAGACTAATTCTAACATATATTCATGTATGAGATTAACTCAATATAGCCATTATTTAATCACACTTCTGAACGGATGAACATGATAAATACTTGTATATGTAATGCTTGATTGAAGATTTAAGTGGTGTACAACGCAGCAGGAGTGAGTAGAAACATGAGGATGGGATGCCACCTAGTGTGAATTTGTATGCACTTCAACCTGCAAACTGCATAATGTTAAACTGCCATAGGAGGGACAGTTGGCAGCAGCCCAGGGTAATGCACCAAACCACTCTGTAAATGTGTCAGCCTGTCTGATAGCAACACTGATGAGCTTCAGGGTGAGAATCACTGTCAGTGGGAGAAGCTTACAAAGGAAGCAATGTCCTCCTATTTTTGAAAAAACTAATCTTTCAAGACTACAATAAATCAGAAATGGTACATGAATGTTATAAGGAAGGAATAGCAGCTTTTGTGATTAATAAAAGTGATTTCCAAAAGGTTACGTTCCTGCAAATAAAGCAAGACAGTATATCTTTTATCTTAAGGGAACACACTGTAATTGTGCAACCTCTCTGTGCCACAGGGGTCATATATTTTAAATGAACCTCTTATTGCCCACCTACTTCACAAATCAAATAAATTATACACAATATAGAGCTCTATAATGGGAGAGATAAGGGCTAGGTGGCCTGAGAGGTCACTTTGCCACACCTTGTGAAAATCTATGTCCCTATGACAGAGAAACACAAAAACTTTGTGGCAACACTGTCTAATGACAAATGCAGTGTCTCTTGCTCATACATACACACACACACAAACGTACACCCACTTTCTGTCACTCTCACTGACAAACACACTCACACCCTCACCCTCTCTCTAATTTCCCCTGTGTCTCTGCAGTGAGCTCACTGCAGTGCGACTCTCGTCTCTCCCCATCCCCCCCCTCGCCACCCTCCGTATAATAGAATATCGATCGCTCGCCTTTGCCGCAGTGTGTAAGCGAGTGTGTCTGTGGACGAGAATGTGTCTGACTGGGGACCTCCAAGGTCATTGCCATGGCAACCTGAGCATGGGGTCCTCTTGCTATGCTGTCACAGAGAACAGGTCACAGGGGTCACGTGAAAAGGGGGACAAGAGGGGGACCATAGGGGGACAAGAGGGGGTTGGTGAGTGCTACAGCGTTTAGTGTACAAGAGATAGAAAAGAGGATGGAACTGTCCTATTCCACTGTGTATTCAGACCAGACCAGAGTAATGAGAAAATGTACAACCTAAGTACCAAGGGCCACTGAGTTCACTACAACTCCTGCCACGGATGTAACAACAAACACTAGTCAACTGTTTGTTTGACTGAATAGAATAATTTACCTGAATTCATTTGAAGCACAATAACACAGAACTGGACATCAAATGGCCGTAGAAACCAGTGATAAGCTATCTTTATATCAGGGGTTTATTGCACTTCCAAAATGTAATTTAAATACAAAACACCCAACTTACATAAAAATGTAAACAAATGAATAATGAATTTAAAGAAAGGAATATTTCAGGTTTACAGAATGTCCTTAAAATCTGAATGTTGTAAGTAGAGCTGATAAATATGCATACAGACAGTCAGCAAAGTACCACATTATTCCAAATACAAAACACCATTACTAATGTACTGACCTTAGATACCTTATCATCAACTTATCTATGTCAAGTACCCTATCTGATATACCCAATAGCATTTTGTATTGTCTTGAATAAACATGTATTGTGCATGATCATTATAAGAACCATATTTTTTAAAGCTTGAAATGGCACTTTTCCTTTGGAAAATAAATTATTTTTAGCAGTTTAGAATTGCAAACATTGCACGTATACTGTTTACATTATCTTGACATAAGAAATCAGCAATCTTTTCAGATAGTTTAGATACAGAAGCTATTACTGAAGATATCTACAGCAGAGAGTACAGCACAAATAGTCCTAAGAGATTAATAAAGATGCGTCACTGTATAAGGGACATTGCAGGGAGCCAGAGGCTATTTGACACAAACCAGAGGCATCCAAGGTATAAAAAATTTAAAGAAAAGCATATAACCCGTATGATAATGTCCTTAAATACTCATTAACAAATTAATTATTTGTGTTATGTGTATGAATGAGTTTGAAAAAGGCAATACAGTTTGTAACAATGACTACTTTAAAGGCAAGACAAGGTGCATTCTTGGTATACTGGCATAGATAAGATAGAAGGAACACGGGTTGCACACATAGCAAAGGAACAGATCTGGGAGCAGGTTTCCTCAACCCCTCCAGTAACATGATTACAGGGTCAAAGTGATGACTGATCATTGACCAGCACCTGCTGAGAGTTCAGCAAGCTCTTCACACAGGCTCCATGAGGAGCTCTTCCATGTCGGATCCCTCCAGCTCCCGGAACGCAGCATGAGAGCCAATCACAAACAGCGTCGCTCCTGAGAGGAGACGTGACAAATGGAAAAGGGGAATGTGAAGGGAAAAACAATGAGGATGAAGATGTGTACACATTTACTCTTACACAGTCACAGAAGAATATGCTTTAATACATAAATACTATTTAAAAAAAGACTAACAGTGCCCTGACAAGCATAAAAACATATATTCCTACGTGTAGTTTGGCTTACCCAGAACCCAAAACACTGCAGCTCCAGCTCCGGCCAACCAGAACACCGGTAGAGAAACAGCTCCAGCCAGACTCATCTGGTGAGGGACAGTCAGCTCCTTGCCTGGTTGGCAAGAAAATTACAGATAAAACAACACACAAATAATGCTTCTGATGAGGAATATTTTTGTACTGGTTAAGCTGACTGATAATAGGATATATTTGCAGACATGCATTTAATCTATTTTTGAAAAATGTGTTTCTTTACCTGTCAGGTCACAGAAAAGTAACATGTAATCAATTGAATTTACATACACATTTCATAAAATTAAGCACAAATTGAAATACTGTTTAAAATATTTTAACAAATCCTGGTAGGATTGATCTATCTTTGCAGATACACAAACACAAAGGATTCACGTTGCTCAGAATACGGCTCCAGTGTGCCAAGAAGAATTCACTATAATTAGCAGGAACATAATTAATGGGTTGCCAGGCATACCTGACAGCTTTACTCACCAAGGACAACAAGTTTGGATTCCAGGGACTTGAGGTGAATTATGTAGAAGGCACCAACGAACACAGCCAAGGCAATCAGTAGCATTGGAGAGCTGATACTGAGGAGAAGAAACATCAGCCATCCAGTTAATTTGGTTTTAATTATAGCAGCATTTTTAGATTTAGTTTGGTCTTAATTCAAATCTTAAATTATTGTATATTTTACTTTTTAAATAAAATCTTATGCCAGTTGTTCTTTTTTTTCTTTTTTTATTGCACCCAGACCGTGTGACTAAGGTGCAGTACAGCAGGAGGAGAAAATATTCCCATTGACAAAACATCTTTGTTGGCCTTACATGCAGTAGAGGATGAGACCGAGGAAGATGAAGGTATAATTGCTGTTGTAAATTTCCACATTTTTCACCACCCTCTGACACATCTCTCCAAAGTTTCGGGGTTTTGAAAACTTGCGTTGGTCCACAAAGCTGGCCCAAGGTCGAATGGACACTCGACGCCTGTCGATCCACTCCTTAGCCATACTGACTGAGAAGCCTTTGGGGAGCCAGAGCCTATGAAATAAGACAAAGGCATTAATAACTGAATACATACAGCGAGTAAGTAAGAAGAAAATCTAAACATAAGAATATATAAGCCCTTACTTTGCCATGATTCCAGCTCCACCTGTGCCTGTTGGATGAGCATCCTCAGCACTGAACAGATCTCCAGCCTTGCTGTCCATGTCTACAAGACAGTTCTCCCCCTTCTGAGCTCCAGATGGCATCTACAGACGGTCTGCTACAGAAATGTAATATAATTTCAATATCATTAGTGCTAGCACTATTTGTTTCTTGTTTGCAGTGATGTATTTATTAATCAGTTAGAAATAAAACAAAAAAATCAGTAACTCAACCATTGACTAAAATAGTGAAAACTGACTGTGGTCAAACACCTGACCTGATTTACATTTTTTATTCAGACACGAGTGTAGGGAACAACTAGCAGGACTTCCAGGGCTGACCAGAGTTAATGAAGTGATGCTTACTGAAACAAAGTTATTAAATATACTTATTATGTAAAATGAACAAAATAAATAATAATACATTTGGGATGATGGTTGTTAAGACTGGAACTGTTGAAAGCCGAATTCTGAACAATTGTGGGACACCATAATCTAAACATCATAATATTCATAAGTATAATTAATTATTATGTTGCATTATATATAATTAATAATTCATTATTCATTTTGCACCACTCTTATTGGTGCTGGCATCAAAAAAATAAACTAACTCACCAGTGCTACTGCTGACTTTATCAATCCTCTCCTCATCAACAGATAATTCAACATTTTCAATTCTGATAACTCATCAATAAAATATATTTATTAAATACAAAATACCAAACAGTTGCTGCTTATAGCTTCACAAAGGTTAATAGTTGACTGCTTTATTAATTTCATCCCATTAGAAATTCTTTTCTTCATTATTTTCAAGCAAAACTAAAAAGCTTTGAGATCTTTTAACTTACAAATATTTTGATACTACTTCAGATATTTCAAAACTCATCAAGCAGCTGGTTGAAATCTGTATTGACAGAGGAATCAATAATGACTGATCGTTAGGGGCATTTGTAAATTAAAGTGTCAACATTTCACAAGTAAGAATCATAAGCTAAATCAATAAGCAAGTAGTTAATGACTAATTTGTTCATGACAACAGTTAGGTGCCTACACTTCACCTCCATGCAGGCTGGAGATACTGAGACACAAGTTGTTGAACAGCTTAATGGAACATTTTAGTCAACAAAGGGCTTGGTCGCACTGCCACATCGCTCACAACACCGGATATTCGGTTGCCTGCCTACATCCATAAAGTATTCCGTTATGGAGTAACTTAGATAGCCTTAGTGGAGTATCTGCATGTGTAAAAGTGAAATAAAAAAACAATGTGTAGGAAAGAGAAGTTTGTTGGTTGTTGAAAAGATTGCCAGAGCTAGCTTCTCTGCTAGCGTTTATATCCAATACACATCGTGACAGTTTCTACATCGCCATACTTCACACTCCGGTGGTTGGATGTTTAAAACGAATATAAAAAAAACATGTTACTAATATGTGATCCTTAAACCAGATATACTTACATCTGAACTTTGATCGGACTGTCTCAGACCTTTTGTTGCTGTGCTGTTTCACGGATGTGATGTGGATGTTTTTTTAACTTCCTGCTGTCGAGGCGCAAAACACCGCCACCTACTGACCGCATCCGGGACTACCCATCTCCTGTTGGGGTCAATTACATGTTTTTATTTGTGTTTTCTGTATTTATTTTAACTATTCCCCACAAATAAGATAAGATACAATGAGATAAGACAAGATAAGATAAGATAAGATAGACTTTATTGATCCCACACTGGGGAAATTCACATGTTACAGCAGCTCCAGACAACAACACAGCAGATGAGAAGAAATAAATACACATTAAATAACTAAATAAAATAGAAAAATACAAGATAATAATGAAAAACAGAAAACAAAATAGAATTAGAGTTGTTTTTACATGATATACAGCTCTTATACAGATGTGACTGATTAGGTTACAGCAGGAGGTAGTGGCATGGTATACAATCTAAAAATTACACAGGGCACTTATACAGCAGTGATTTAGCAGAATATAGGCTAGACGTGGCTATAAAGATAAAGTACAGGGGCATGTAGGAAATAATATATTTGTTTGTTTTTAAGATATTTGGGTTTATGTTGTCCACACTTCCCAGTGGCAGTGATAGTAGAGTGGAAGGAAGAAAGGACAGTGCTGCATTTTACTTTATTTTTTCTGCGATACAGCTGAGACAATAGAATCAAAACAAACCGACTTGAGATCAGCTGTATTATTTTCTGCTCCACTGACTGGTGGAGATGATCTGACCGCAGATCAGCTGAACTATAACGTGACCGGGCGTCATCGAACAGACGGAGGGCTGTGATTGGTCAGCTTGTGTATGTTGTTGTGTAGCTGTCAGTACTGCACGGTGCTGTGGGAGTTTGCACACAACGCCAATAGCTGGGAACGCGAGTTGTCAGGTACATTAAACGTTTAAATATCGCTCTGAACATGCATTTGACACTTAATTAACGTTATATAGCAGTTTGTTGTCAAGGTAATTCAGTGCCTGTCTTTATAAAGGCCCGTCTATGGCTAACGTCAGCGAGTAACGTTAATATCCGTTAATGTCTGTTATCGAAAATACACGACACATTTCTGTTCATAGTGAGCGGAATATCTATACTAGGTGTCGTATTACTCCAAGTTGTGCATTGTTTTTTTCATTTAAATGTGGGTATTTATAGCTAAACAGCAGTTTGAAGAGCGATGGGTTTTTTTTTTTTTTTTTTACGCTTGTTGTTTTTTTTTTTTTGCCCCTCAGAGATACGTGATTACGTAACGTGCCAATAGGGTAATTTGCTCCACCGGTTGCTGCTGGACATCTGAGAAACGCCTACTCTCTTTGGTTTTTGAAACGACGACAACATAACACGTTCACGCCTTGTACTACATGTTGGAAGACAACGTCGAGCTGACACCGAAAATAGGTAATTTAATTCTGCTGAGCTTGCTAAAAACAGGGCCTTGAAAACACGGTAGACTGGAGAGGGAACGTCGCTACGTTACGTTAACGCGGAAATGTTAGGAGGGCATCAACCACAGCTACATTATGTTGTAAAGCACAGACGGCTTGCTGTTGGGTTTAGTTTTTTCCCCCTGCTAATTGTCGAGTTGTGTAAAAGTTTTTAAAGGAATTTAACTGTTAAACATACGGATTATAATTTAGTTGAGTTCACACGGTGGCAGGAAATTATGGTCAAACCTGTGTTAAATAAGGAGATTCTCAGCAGGGACTAATCAAAAACAATTTAAGTTAATTTACTGAAAATGCACTAGAGTACAGCGTAGTTTTATTCATATTGGTGGTTGAATGCCTTGATGCTGAGCAAGTAGACAACAGTAGAGCCCTATGCTGTTATTTCCTAACTTAAATGTCTGTTTAATATGCTGTTTATTTTTTTTAATTCTAAATAGGTGGGAAGGTGGAGAGGGGCTATAGGCAGACCCATGGCTTCAGTGCACCACCCAGGGTACCCACTCCGGGACTCACTTTACTGGGATGAAACAGAGTGCCTGAACTACTATGGGATGTTGTCTCTCCATGAGGTCTTTGACATAGTTGGTTCTCAGCTGACAGAGACAGACATTGAGGTGTTGTCATTCCTTCTGAATGAAACCTGTCCTGCACCACACCCTCTTGATCCAAAGGGTTGGACAGTTGAGCCCTGTGTGGGGGATCCAGATGACTTGGGCGTGTCCCCGAGTCCTGAGCTGCTAAAGGCCTGGATGCGGTTAAAGCCTCAGAGCTCTCAGCGTCCCTTAGTGGCCTCATGTAAGCCCACCAGTGGCCTTGAGCTGTTATTAGAGCTGGAGAAGCGAGGATACCTCGGTGATGGCAAACTGGAGCCACTGCTGCAACTACTGAGAGTCCTCACTCGTCATGACCTGCTGCCTTTAGTGTCCCACAAGAAAAGGAGGACAGGTGAGGATGAATCACGGGGTGTTCATGATAAGATTTTGAGATTATGTTGAGTGCTTGGCTGTTGCCTTTCTCTACAGTGGCCTGCGAGAACTTGTCAGCCATTACAGCTCTCCCATCTTAATAGCCATAGCTCAATGATTACTAATAGTTTTTTATGTTTTTCAGTATCTCCAGAGAGAATTGAGCAGAGTTATGCAATAGAGAACAGAGAGTTGGTGTGCACCTCTGGAATGCGCCACAGCTGGGGACAGACAGAAATACCTCTTCCATCTTTCACACAGCAATTGAGAACTGGTAAGTGCACTGTAATATAGTATTTAACTCACTGGAAGTGTTTCCACAAAACGTTTTGTCAGTCAAGGATGCAGATTGTCCGAAGTCAGTGTTTATCATTCTCTACAGCATTTAACATATTTACATTATACTTAATCTCAGGAACTATTTTCTGGTAAAGAGGCACTGGCATCCTTTTTGGGAAGTCGTGTTTGTTCCATCCTTCTGTTAGCTAGGAAAGTGCATGTACATTGTTTAAAGTCCCCCTCCACTCAGAAATGCATTTTTCTTCTTGTTCCTACAGTTTGTACAGATTAGTGTATAGAGTTTGACACTTGAAGGATGTTTTCTCATTAATCTGCTGAAAGTGGAAAGTTTCTCTGTGCTCACTTAAAATCTGATTTTAACTATTTGTGATGGAGAAAATAGTGTGCAAGTCAATCCCGGTCCAATTTGCATCTTATACAAATGTGATGTACAAACGTGAAGCCACCAGTGCACATACAGTATACTACAGTGAAGTAGGAGACATCTTGTGTTAAGCAGGAAACCTTTATAAATGAACAAAATTAGCATTTCACACAGAAGATTCTGGAAGATTTAACGAGGTAAAAGTGATTAAATAAAATGTGATTATATAATCAAATGTAAATTTGATTCCTTGTTATCATATGCTTGTGGTGAACCCTCCATAGGGAAATTAGGTTTTTATCAGGTACCAGTAGAAAAAGATAAACATGGAGCAATTACCAGAAATGGGACAAGAACAGAATTAAAACAGGACAATAGCAATCCCACACAAAGAAACTCCATCTATGCCCTTATCTTATTGTCCTAATTCCATGCATGTCCTTTCAGGTATTTACCCTCCTATGCCTGGGCCATCTCCTAGGAGGAGGAGGAAGAAGAAGAAGGGAAATGGCTGGAGCCGGAAGCCCAAGAAAACCAGCAGACAGGGCCAGCCACTGCCTCCACCACGACCACCACATAAAGTTTCCTGCAGTAAGTCCAGCTCCGGCATTCTTAACCTGTCTCGCTTTTAGCTTTTCATCTCTCGCCCCACCATTTTCTCTTGCAGATAATTTCCCCATCGTATAAGCTCCAATTTTATTTTCAGTCTATCTCTGTATCTTCTTCTGCATCACCGCATTTTGTCTTTTGTCTCCTTAATTCTGATGTTGTTTGTCTAGGCAAAACCTTATCTTTGGTTAAGGAGTTTGCATACCAAGTCTTAATTTTAGATTTCTTGGATTTTCAATTTTTTCAAACCTTCATCCCAAAAAAATCTTGAGCCACAGAAACCTTGTGTGTCTGGTGTCTTTTTAACTCCTTGTGAAATTCACATTACAAAGCAATGATTATGTAAACTGTGTTAATTCACTCTCTTTTCTGTGGACTATCAAACAAGTTCTTACTTTGAGAGTGCACACACAGCAAGGTGCAGATCCATGTGAGCTTCGATGTAAACCAATCAATATTAAAACATGTTGCATAACTCTTCAGGCAAGATAGCCTGTTAAAAATCACAGCTCCTCAGAATCACCTTTGCCAAGTGTTACATTAAAAATATATTTTTTTAATTTCTGCCGCATTCACTGAAAATTCCTGACCACATTAGAACCTGTCTCATGGCACCAGAAAGTCAAAACTTCATTCACTGTCTGTGCAGCAGATGAATTAAAGAAATTAAAGGGATCTGTCTGAATTACAACTTCAGCAAAAAATGGTTCACAACAATTGATTCAAAAATAATTGCTTGCACTTCCCTTTCAGTCGACTGGCATTACTTAAACTGTTTTTTTATTGTCACGCTCTGACTACGTTTAGACGTACAATATCTCCTTAACTGTCTTAATTAAACATGCAACATCAGGGAGAATGTGTTGCCCTATCCATTTCTCTATCTGGCCCTTTACATTCTTGTCTCCTCATTTCACCTTTTAACCCATTGGACCATGTTCAGCTGCTGCTGTTGATAAGCGCACAGACTGGTAGGTTCTCTCCTATCCATTTGTCTACTCTATGTGAAGGAAGTTGTCCGGTCATCACTAGATACAGCCCTTTTTCTGCTTTATTATCAAGCTTAATGCAAAGTTGCCACGAGTCCACTGTCAAACCTCACATTTCTTCCTGAAAATTTATTTGAGCAGTTGTTCTGAACAATCTAACTCCACTGGAAAGCTGCACTATGTAATCCATTATCAGTGTCCTCTTCCACGTTTCAACTATTGCCTGCCTTTCAATCAGTCAATGCTAGTTTCTCTCAGCACAATAAGCTTGAGATAGCACTAACATCAGTTGCCCTTTGTGTAATGTTTGCTTAGTCATTCATGCAGACCTTCTCCAACGTTTCTTTTGAACGTCCATCGTTGCCTGTCAGAAATACTTATTAC